ACCCCAGAGTGTGCGTTGGGGGTAACTGCTGCAGCCTAACCAGCTCAAACTACATAGCTTGGCCATTGATATCACTGTCTGGCAAAGCTTTCCCACTGCTTGCCATCTAGGACCACCCTCCCCATTAGGGCTTTGGCTGCAGGGCTACCAGGAGCTAAGGGGGAGGATTCCCTGCCCCCAGTGACTGGTCGGCCCTTCCAGGTCCTGCTGATGAGCCGAGCCGGGCTGTGCCCTGGATACTGCGGCCCCTCCTGGCTCAGGAACCGGACTAGAGACCGGCACAGAGATCAGCTCTGGCTCGATTCCCATATTCCATTGCCAGCCATGTCACCTTAATAATAATAATAATAATCCTTGCATTTGATATAGCGCTTTTCACGTCTCAAAGCGCTTCACAGAATAGACTGTAAAGTGAATTGACTGTATATTTGTGGGCGAAACGCGGCACCTTGTAGCCAGTTCAGCTCCAAGGCGACCCCACTTACCTCCCCACCCCCCCAAGGAGGACAAGTGGGTTTCAGTTAGCACCTCTTTTCCACCACACGATTATTAATTCAGTTTCTCTCCGTCAGGCTCAGCAACAGAAACTAGAGGGAAATTAATAATAATGCTGTACGTTTTATAAAGGGAGTCCTGATGGTGGCAGTTATGATTTCGTCTTTCTCAGGTGGATCTCGACCAACTTGCACAGCGATATGGCCTGCGAGTTGTATGTGACTAACAAGCCTCACATCTGCAAGCGTGTGCGTGAGAGAGAGAGAGACAGAGAGACAGAGAGAGAGATGAGGGGAGTGGGAGGGAGAGGAATAGGTTGGTTATTCTATGTGGAGTTGCAACCTGCTACTTTGTCACACAGCTGCGGACATTAATATGTATTAGTGTGCTTTGTGTACGGGGAACAGGGCAAATGACTGACCCCATCAGTAATGGTATAACATTATCATGCCTGACGCCACTAATTTGCTATTTAAAGCACATTTTTTAACAAACACTGGCAAAATACAGAATCCTCGTTGCAGACGTTGGGGCTGCAGTCAATACAGCATTTGTTTCAGCTCGAAGTTGCTGAAGCAGTCAGTAAGCAAAGCACTGCAGCAGAAGGTTCGGAACTTGCTCAAATTCTGGCTGTTCCAAGAACCAAAATAATGATAATACAACAATAATCCTCGCATTTGATACGGGGGCCTTGTCACATCTCAGAGAAGGCGTCTCAAAGCGCTTCACAGAATAGACTGTAAAGTGAAAAGTGCATTTTGTGGGCGAAACGCGGCAGCCAATTGCGCACAGCAGCGTTCCCCACAAACAGTCGTGGATTGAGTGACCAAATTAGTTTTTTTTCTCAAAATTTTCAAAACATATATAATTGTGCCTTGGACAAAACAAACCAAACAAAGTATGTCACATTAGGAAATTAGTGACTTTATACATGTAGGCGAACATGGCAGTTAGTTTGCACACAGCAATGTCCCACAACCTGCCCCACCGTCTGGAAGTCATTATCTTCTGACATTTGTATGTGTACAACTGAAATGTCACTGACAACAATTTACTGCTTCAGTGCTGATGTAACAGAAAGGTTTTACAGCTTCATTATTTTACGTGTCAAAAAAAATCCTCATATCGCTTGAATTTAATGGAGCAGTGGAGATAGATGTCAGTCATATGTTAGCTCTAAGTTAGAAGGTTAGAAGGATCCATCCCACATTCCCTTCTCTTCACTCCCTCTCTTGCCTCCTTCAAGACAGGACTCAAAACCCTCCTTTTTGACTGTGCCTTCAGCCGCCCTCCTACCCCCTCTGCCCTCCCTCATCCCAACCCTGCCCCCACACGCTCGGGTCATAGCATAACATAACATGTAGGAGCAGGAGTAGGCCATTCGGCCCTTCGAGCCTGCCCCGCCATTCAATCATGGCTGATCTTCTAATCTAACTCCAGCTAATAACCTGACCCTGCCTTATCCCCATATCCCTTAATCCCTTTCACAATAAGAAATCTATCAATCTCAGTCTTGAATATGTTCAAGGACTGAGCGTCAACAGCCCTTTGGGGTAGTGAGTTCCATACATTCACTGCCCTTTGAGTGAAGAAGTTCTTCCTCAACTCAGTGCGAAAGGGCTGGCCTCTGATTTTAAGGTTGTGACCCCTGGTTTTAGTTTCTCCAACCAGGGGAAACAATCTCCCACTATCTACTCTATCATGGCCTTTGATGATCTTATAGGTTTCTATAAGATTCCCTCTAATTCTTCTATATTCCAGAGAATATAGGCTTAAATTGTTCAGCCTGTCCTCATAACTCATCCCCTTCATCCCTGGTACTAACCGAGTAAATCTACGCTGCACCCCCTCCAGGGCAAGTACATCCTTCCTTAAATAAGGAGACCAAAACTGTACACAGTATTCCAGGTGTGGTCTCACCAGGGCCCTATACTTATTCTACTCTTATACTCTAATCCTTTCATAATAAATGCTAACGTACCGTTTGCCTTCCTAATTGCTGCTGCACCTGCAGACTAACTTTCTGTGATTGGTGTACAAGGACACCCAAGTCCCTCTGGACGCTAACACATTCCAATCTCTCCCCTTCTAAAAAATAACCCGCTCTACTGTTTTTGCTCCCTAGATGGATGACTTTGCACTTCCCTACATTATACTTCATGTCCCACCTACCTGCCCAATCACCTCACCTATCTATGTCTCGCTGCATTTTTTTAATGTCGTCCTCTGTGTTGACACTTCCTCCTAGTTTTGTGTCATCCGTGAATTTAGATATATTAACTTTGATGTCCTCATCTCGATCGTTGATGTAGATGGTAAATAGCTGAGGCCCAAGGACTGATCCTTGTGGCACTCCACTAGTCACATCCCGCCAATCCGAAAAGGACCCGTTTATCCCTACTCTTTGTTTCCTACCCGTTAACCATTCCCCAATCCACGTTAATATGCTCCCCCCAATTCCATGGGCCCTTATCTTTTGGACTAACCTTTTATGCGGCACCTTATCGAATGCCTTCTGGAAGTCCAAATAGACCACATCCACTGATTCACCCTTATCTAGTTTACTGGAAATATCCTCAAAAAACTCTATGAGATTTGTCAAACATGACTTCCCTTTTGTAAAGCCATGTTGACTTGGCCTAATTATATTGTGCCCTAAATACCGCACTACCACATCCTTAATCAATGATTCTAAAATGTTTCCTATCACTGATGTGAGACTAATTGGCCTATAGTTCTCCATCTTTTCCTTTCCATCTTTTTAAAATAGTGGTGTGACATTTGCGATCTTCCAATCCATGGGGACTGTTCCAGAATCCAAGGAATTTTGGAAGATCAGACATAAGGCCTCCACTATCTCATAAGCTCCTCTTTTAAAACCCTGGGATCCGGACCAGGGGATTTGTCCTGATCCCCATCTGTCCAGTGCCTTGGGACGTCCTCCCAACTTGAAAGACGCTTTACAAATATAATTTTGTTGTTGTTGTTGAGGGTTCAAGCCCCACATTGGGACTCTAGAGCTTACAGGATAGGATGTACTAAAAGACGTTCTGCATTACTGGAGTTGCCATCCTTAGAAACATAGAAACAGGAGGAGGCCATTCAGCCCCTCAAGCCTATTCCACCATTCTATAAGATCACGGCTGATCTCAACTCCGATTTCCTGCCCTTGCCCCATATCCCTTGATACTTTGACCTAATAAACATCTCCACCTCAGTCTTGAATAGGCAGATACAACTTTCGTTCAACATCTCACCCTTTGGGCGTTGGGAGTTTGTCCTGGTTTATGGGATGTCCACAAATTGCCCACTGCGTTGACTTACAAATCCCACAGTTTAAGGAGACACTTTACACAAAACTCTGAAACTCTTTGAGACATTGTGATATGATTCAAGATTGAATTGAAGAATTTTACACAAATCTGAGCAATTCCTGTTCTCAATTTCCTGTTCTCGTTGGCAATTAATGTACATCCTATTCCAAGGTTAACAGGATGCCGAGGAGACGCATCTATTAGGTTTAACGGCAACATGCATCCAGTGGGAAAGGGAATTGTAACTTATAACTTAGTGGATGGAACCTACCACTTGTCAGACCATGTACACTCAACATAAGGACCACATTGTATTTTCACAGCCAATAATGTGACTGACGTATAGCTCCACTCCTCCACTCAATTCAAGCAGGATGAAGAATTTTTTTGACACGCATGTAATAATGAAGATGTAGAACATTTTTTTCACGTCTCTCTCAGCACTTAAGCAGCAAATTGTTGGCATTGACATTCCAGTTGCAAACATGCAAATGTCAGAAGATAATCACTTCAAAAATGGCTTGACAGGAGCAGCGTGTCATTTTATATAATGTTCTTTCTCCTGCCTCTTTCTGTATAACACCGTCATTTTTCAATGATGTATAAATGAGCCACAGATTCTGCTTGACGGTACTGGAGGCAATGGTAATATGATTGAATCCCAATTTTGGGGGGAATTGATATAGCGTCTTAACATGTCCGCTAGATTTCTGAAAGCATTTCACAGAATATAGTGTAAAGTAATTTGACTGAGTATTTCATGGGGGAAATGCGGGAGCCAATTAGGTACAGCAGTGTCCCACAAACAGCTATGGAGTTAGTGTCCGATTTTATTTGGGGGATTGTTGACCAGGATACTGGGAGAGAGAAACTCCCTTTTTTTTTTGAATAGTGCCGAGGACTCCTTTAGGCTTAGTGGTTAGAGGGAGCCAGTCCCAAAAATAATAATTTGGTGACTCAATCCATGACTGTTTGTGGGACGCTGCTGTGCGCAATTGGCTCGCCCTCAAAATACACAGTCACTACACTTTACAGTATATTCTGTGAAATGTTTTCAGACGTTGAGAAGACGTGATAAGGCGCTATAGCAAATGCAAGGACTATTATTTATTGAGTCTGCTTCCACGTCCTTTCAAGGCAGTGCATTCCAGATCTCAACAACTCACTGTGTAAAAAAAAAAATCTCCTTACCTGTTGTAAATATCATCATCTTCACCTCCCCAGCCCCAGTATTCATTTGGAAAACCATTTATTTTTAAAAATTGCTCCTTGCTCAGTCCTGACACTCCACCAAAGTAGCCAGTGTATGGTAACCTAACAGAGGAAACAAGAGAATAAGGTTAGTAAGAAATATACTGGACACCAGTAGTTTTTCTTTCTAAATACAATTTCAATATTCACAATTTTTTTTAGTAATTAAAAATACAGTATTCCTCCAACTGAAAAAATAGCATCAAGACGGAGGTGGATAGATATTTGTTAGGTCAGGGTATTAAGGGATATGGGACAAGGGTGGGTAATTAGAGTTGAGGTACAGATCAGCCATGATCTAATAGCATGGCGGAACAGGCTTGAGGGTTGAATGGCCTCTTCCTGTTTCTATGTTTCTAAATGGTCCAATTAGTATTGAATGAAAAGAACATGACACACATTCAAACCCTTGTGATTGTAAAATTGAATGGACGATATGTGAAACGAAAAGAAAACAGTATTCAGTTCACGCAGTATCCAGTTTGCCTGGTGTGGTCAGCAGTGATTGCAGTATATCTGAAAAACCAAATGACATGTCTTATATTCTATAATAATAAGCACAGTCCCAGTAATAATCTTGCCATAGCAACCAGCAACTCAATGGTAAGTATTGAGAAATTGTCCAATTAAAGACTAGATGTTTATTGAGCAACTGCTATTCTTTGATGTGAACTCCATCAAATCCATAGGGAGACATTTGCTTTCTCTGTTCTTTTCTTAAAGAAAATCCCAGAGCTGTAATTCATCTCTGCTCGAAAGGGTAGAGTTTGTTTGTTTCACTGTCAAGGTAGTCGAGAGGAGAGGGAATAAGATGAAACCAATTTCTACCAAAGTGTAATTACAGATCATTCGGTGCTGAAGGGTTATCGAGTGACTCGCCAACAGGGGCTCCCTGAAAGGGCTTGGGATATTCATAGAAAAAAAATTTGAACTGGAGTCAAATAGCACAAAGCAACCCACAAAGGCTCTCCCATAATAATAATAATAATAATAATAATCCTTGCATTTGATATAGCGCTTTTCACGTCGGGAGGACGTCCCAAAGCGCTTCACAGAACACACTGTAAAGTGAATTGACTGTATATTTGTGGGCGAACGCGGCAGCCAATTGCGCACAGAAATGTCCCACAAACAGTCGTAGATTGAAAATGACCAATTTATTATTGTTTGGTTTTGGAGGGATTATTATTAGGCTCTGTGTGGAGTAAGGAAACTTGCTCAAGGTTTCGCCCTCTGCCTGGAATTGAACTCAGGTCTCTCACTTGCAAAGCGAGTGCTCTAACCACTGAGCTACAGGACTCCATAGTGGTATCACCCGAAAGCCGCCTCAAGCACCCCCCAGCTCAGGGTGAGGGCCTTGGGATGTCCCCCCCCCCCAACCATGTGAAACGAGCTATACAAGTCCTGTGGAATCGTGTAGCTCAGTGGTTAGAGCACTCGTCTCGCAAGCGAGAGACCTGGGTTCGATTCCCAGGCAGGGTGAAACGTTAGGCAAGTCTCCTTACTCCACACACACCTCTGTTTCTCTAATAATAAGTAGGAACCCGGTTGTTAGTCGATTTTGATGGCTCTCTTTTCCGAGAGTAATACTCCCTTCAAAAAAGATAATAATAATTTGGTCACTTAATCCACGACTGTTTGTGGGACGCTGCTGTGCACAATTGGCTGTTTTGCCCCAAAATATACAGTCACTACACTTTACAGTATATTCTGTGAAGCGCTTTGAGACGTCTCGAAGACATGATAAGGCGCTATATCAAATGCAAGGATTCCATTATTATATGTTATTATAATACGCACTAAACTATCTAGTTTAGCTGTATTTTCCTTATGCCTCAAGTTAAATGCCCCAGTGGTACTTCTTCAGGAGAACAATACTGTGATCTATTCGCCACAATTTCACCTTCGAGAACAGCACATACTCCCAAGCACATTAATTGCGAGTGTTTAACAAGGTGTTTGTCATTTCTGAGGGGATTAAATCGATGTGATGAAGTGTTTTCGTTAACCCACAGGTGGGTGATATGGCATTTTGGACACAATACACCATTTGCACATTTATAGGACTTTCTGAGGTTCCACTGTCTCCACTAAGTCACAACTTGTCCCTTGTGTTCTGACATTAGACAACTGTTTCATAAAGCTGGCAAATTACCTTAACTGCCTTCAGATTTCATCTATTTTAACAGCATAAGTCAAGAGCATGTTGGCTACCAGTAACCACACTAACAACTGTTGGCGCCCCACAAAGAACATTCAGCAAATTTTACTGCACACATTTTATTAAAAAAAGCCTAGAGTGACTTTAAAGCTGTGATTGATTTGAGCTCAGGAGTTATACAACAACAGTATAAGTCGCTCTCATAAGATGTGTTCCTGCAATTAATAACCTCATCCAAAGCCCTTGGTCTACATTATAGCCTTGTAATCATTCTAATACTTTGTCAGCCTTAACCAAGTGTGTAAAATAGACCCTATTCACAACAGTGTCAGTCCAGATTGGAAACTAATTTGGTGAAGCTGTCCTGAGTTTGTCCTCTTCTTCAGCTACAGAGAAGTGAAGTGTTTTGGATTCACACGCAGTCACGTGGATTTGGCTTTCAATGGTCCAAATCGATATCTGTGTGGCTCCCAATACTCACTGCTTATTCTTATCTTCTCCAAATCCTATTCAGGTTCACACAAAGCCAAAACTGATGACGGTAGGCATGGTCGAAGAGGAAGATTTTCAGGCGCGAGCTGAAGATGAGGAAGAGGGGGCAAGGCGGAGGGATAGAGGAAGAGTGTTCCAGAGTTTCGGGGCCTAGTAGCTGAAAGCGCTTACAATTATTATCATTAAAAATTATTATAATTAAAACTCAGAATCTAGCAGTTCAGGGGAGCAAGAAACCCATTATCCATTGCAAAACGTTGAGATAGTCCCGAGTGGAAATTATTTTTTTCTGGCTTTTTCCCAGTTTATAATATATTTATTTCTTTACAACTAAAGTGCTCTTAAGGAAAAATGTAAATTCCTTACCTGTTTAAATATTAAAGCCATCACTAAAATAGCAACCATAAAATAAACACCTTATAGAGAGCAAAGAGGTTTTGAAGAAAGATGAATAGTTCTATAATAATAATAATAACATAAGCCCTTGCCTTTCATGTCACGAGAACACCTCAAAGTGCTTCACAGCAGTTACTATGAAGTGGGGTGACTATATTTGCAGGTGAAAGTGGCAGCCGAATCCAGAGATTAGGGTAAAGTGGATGAAAGCAGTGGGTAGGAGAGAGCGAGGAACGAGCAATATTCCAGAACAGCACAGGCCGAGGCAGGAGAAGAGGGATCTTAACTGCCAGCGTGTAACACAGCCTGGCAACCCAGAGAGGTGAAGGTTGGCCATTAGTAGGCGCTGAATTCGCTGAGGCAATGATGGCCACTATCATTATTTCATTTGCCTCTGGGCACAAAATCGAAATGTCAGACAGCCTTTTTGCTGCTAATCAGCATTCTGTAAACTACTGGTGGGAAGTTTGCATGTGTTAGCTCCAGGGTTGAATAACCTGCCAACACTTGATGGCTAATGCATGAAAAATAACCATTTGAGTAAGTTACCAGAGGGCAGATGGTGCCAATGGAAGCACCTTTGGAGGTGAAGGAGGAGGGAAATTGGAAAGGAGAGGAAGAGAAGCAGTTTAAAAGACATGATCAGTTTAACAAGCCTCGTTCTGTGCCAGCGACAACATCACATGCCTTTTGGCATGATACCAAAGAGTTGAGAGGGAGGGTCTTCCATGAATGTAATTTGTCCCCCCCAATGTTTTATAATTCCTCAGGCTGTGAGACACACAGGATTTAATTTAAACTTTTTCAGTTCTTGTTAAAGCTCTCTCCCAATGAGGACTATCGTACTACAACGTTCCCTGCCACAGAACCGTCAGCAGTTTAAGATTGAATATCTTGATGTGGAGGTGCTGCTGTAGCAGGAATACTAATGATCTCAACACGCACACTGTGGCCAGGCCTCAATTTGAATGATAATGTCTGATACAACAAGGCTTCTGTTACAGCACATCCCCAGTGGAACACACACGCACATCTGAAATTCTATGCCCTTGTGAGGGAGGACTGTACTGTGGGAGCAATGCTCCTGCTACACTGCACTGCTATTTGGTTTTGCACATAGACTTATTGACACAATTGCAGCGCTAGGATTTCATTTGGAAAAAAATAATCAAGTTGTATCGCGTTCTGAGACTCACAGATTACACACTCGTTACTGACAATCCCTTCAAAAATAAATAATAATAATAATTTGGTCACTCAAGGCACGACTGTTTGTGGGACACTGCAGTGTGCAATTGGCTGACGCGTTTCACCCACAAAACATAGTCAATTCAGTTTACAGTATATTCTGTGAAGTGCTTTGAGACGTCTCAACGACATGATAGGGCACTATATCAAATGCAAGGATTATTATCATTATTATTAACTGCCAGGCTGCTCTGTTGGCACAATTTATGGCATCATCTGAAGCTGCTTGATGACATTACTCGAATCTACTGAACTTCCTGTAGCCATTTCTTGATCTGTAATTAACCCTTTCCTTCCACCTTCGTCCTACGAGTTCATTATTCATTCTGTGAGCATTTCCAGATATCTGCTATTCTCAATTTAGGGGATTGCTCAGCCATAACTACTTCTCTTTCTCTGATCGTTCACAGCCCATCACATTTCTTTTTGCGCTAACTCAAGTAACAATCAGACTCCTTGCAGCCATTCTTCTCTATTTAACCGGGAGACGTTTCCTATGTGACTGAGGATTTTCCTGAGGAATAACATTTTGCAGAGCCACTTTGCTCAGAGAGAGACAAGACACATGCACTGTGGTCAAATGTCCAATTTACACTCAGTGCAATAACCCTTGCCCGATGCTCAATATCGACATTATTTTTGAACAACATATCATTACGTGCTAAGGATTCAGGGAATAGAGGGGTGTAGGACAGGCAAATAGGAGGGATGGGGGAGTTTGTGTGGAGTATAAACACCAGCACAGACAATTTGGGCTGATTTGCCTGTTTCCATGCTGTCTGATTTGCCTGTTTCTCTGCTGAAGACCTTTCTTTTCGACCGCGCCTTTGGTCACCTTCCCCCCCCTCCCCCCGGCTCCCCCCACTCCCCCTGGCTCCTCCCCCTCCCCTCTGGCTCGGCCCCGGGATCCGTTACTGTAAAGCTCTGAGACGCCATCCGGCGTGCAGTGCGCTATATGAATCCAAGTTGTTGTTGTTGTTGTATGAGGCGTCTCTGTTAAATACAGCACAGTGCACAGCCAGAGTGTCGTTAAAACTATAATGCTGTTTGTTGGCTGATGATAATGTATAGCATAGCAATCAGGAACGCCCATACAAGCCCAGACCCAGAGAGTCTCTCATATCCATCATTCTACAGATGATCCTTTATTATCTTTCAACCTTTTGCTGAATGTACAGTTAAGAAATATAATAGTTCTGGGAACTGAATGTCCATGGCAAAGATGTGGTCCTAAAATATGGTGTAAAATTTAATCAGCTATTCCTAAGAAATCTTTGTATCATATTTCTTGTCAAACACGCTTAGCTCTAGTTCTGTCGGTTTGCTGGGAATGGTGAGCAAGATACTGATGATAATTACACTCCTGAAAGGAAAAGGAAAATTAGGAGATTTGTCCCTTGTAACCTTGGAAGAAATGTACTCTTAAAGTGTTCTTACCTAAATCCAAACTTGTCCATGGCGATGGCAAAATGGCGAGGCTGATCATAACAATGGTAGACGTTTCTGTCATCCATTGGGATTAAGTCCACGTCACTAAATACAAAGCAGTCATATTCTCCGTCCTTCAGGGCCTCCGTGTATCCAATATTCAGCAGTTTTGCTCGGTTGAACATACTTTCCCCATTCTGCAAGACATGACATAATCAAAACACACGCGTAACATACATCTGCAGTGCACACAGAACCCGGAGAGATTGGATATTATATTCTCTGTAAACTCACAAATCACTGATATACTGTATATCCAATCATTCTGTTCACCTTCTTTCAATTGGAATTCATTGTAAATGTGCCCCATCAATTTTTACCTGCAAATGCTTTTTTAATTTCTTTTTTTGGGGGATAGGATTCTCCTCAGGCTGATTGCCAAGTGGGGTCAGATCCAATCTGTAATAAATTTACATCTTGGAACGTTAAAGATAATTGGTTCAGCACCTATTTCCCAGATCTTCATTCATGTCACCCTGTGTTCGATATCGAGGAGCACCTTTGGCAAGTACCTCTCTTGCTTGATGTCTATTATGGTCCCAGGAAGGTTCTCTCTGCTTTCAGGAGAAGCCTACAGCTAAACAACCATCAGGAAAAGCGATTTAGAGACAGGACTGTATTTAATTTGTAAGCTTCCATTCCCCATGTAGCTGAGTTTCAGCTGCGTTTGCAGCCTGCAGCTAATCACTCTCTGATTTACCTTCAATCAATCATTTCATGCAGCAGAGTGTTTATGCCAGGACTGGCCTGGCAACTTGAGAGATACACACGACAGCACCACCTGGTAAAGCCTGCTCTCTCTCTCTCTCTCTCTCTCTCCCCAGAGAGGAGCACACAAAGAAATTCATGCCCTGTTTTCAACCTGGGCCCCGAAAAGAACCCCCATTTGTACACAATTTCTCAAGACTCAAAAGAAATAAATGTACGTGTAAATTTGGAACATGGTTTAGAAAAAAAAGATAATGAAGGGGTTGCAATGTATTTCTAACTGCCTCTTTAGTCACTCTGTAGACTGACAAAACAGATACAGCTGCTTATTAATGTGGGATATTCTTTTCTGTCTTATCTTCTCAAGGGAAGTAATTAACATCTGACATGCTCATCGTTATCAAGCAACGAAAGGGCATTGTGCACTCACCTCTTGCCAACGATCAGACAGGCATAGCATGATGTTTAGATCCTGCTCCGATTGTAGTCAAAGTCAAGTGTGGCTGAGTACAGTTTGCCTAATTGAAAGCTCGACCTTAAAAAGTCAAATTTTTGGCAATCCCGCTCACCAACAATTTAATGTCTCTCATCTATGTTCTCATGCACCAATGTCAAGATGGAACACCGATAGAAATGGATGCATCTTTTCCTGGATTATTTATTATAACAGACCAGGAAATCTCGGCATCATCTTTCCCTTTAATATTTGCTGAGCACCTCTTTCCCAACAGTCGGTAGCCAGTTTGCCAACTTCAACCCGCGGATCAAACTAAACCAACAGGCCATGTAGACATTTTCACGATTAAAAGGGGGATGTGAAGATCAGCAGCGTGCTAACATGGTAATGTTCACACTGGAGAACAAAAGTATCAGGAGAGATCTTGTTAAATTATTGCGGATAATAAAGGGTAGAGATAATCCCTGGTGATCAATTCAAAATGGTCACCAACTCTATAACAAAGGGTCACAGACTCAAGATGGGATGAGGCAAGCTTCAGATTCAATTCAGGCCAACTCCCCGCAGACTTGACATCGGTCTCCACCTGTGGGATGAAGGGACTCCATCGCACATTCCCTTCACCTCGCTCCCCTCCCTCGCCTCCTTCAAGGCATATCTCAAAACCCTCCTCGTTGACCGCGCTTTCAACCATCCTGCTACCCCTACCCGCCCTGCCCTCCACCCACCCCCGATCCCAAGCCCCACTCTGGTCCAAAATCCATGACTGTCTAGCTAGCGCCTTGGAACGTTCTCCTGACATGAGAGGCGCTGTGTAAATGCAATGTGTTATTGTTGCTCCAAATCATTGCTCAGACATGACCATGGCTCTGAGTCATGGAGACTTTTTGTTTATTATTTGTATTCCCCGCTGTTATACACTATTATCACTTCTTTCCCTAAATACAGGATTCCTGGTAAGAATCCAGGCTCTAACTATTCCATGTTTCTGTGCAATTGTCTTTTTGTCTCCTGAAATCTCCTCCTGTTGAGTGTCATTATCAAGTTGATTCTGCTTATTTACAATTATCCATCATATGTTTGTATGCCACGAGGTATTTATAGTATTATGCGCTTATTAACATTTACTTCTGGTATGGATTATCAAATCTGCTCCTATTATGAACTGCTATTAACTGTATTCCCATGAACCACCGGAAATTCTATAAATGGATCAACTATATTTCGATCATGAACTCAAATCTTCCTTTGGCATGTGGCATACGGTGGTATTTATTTTCGAAAGCTAATTTAAAACAAAGCAACTGTATGGCAGTGAAGACCAGAAGTGAATGGCAGGCCTCAAAGGCTCTTGGAAACCAAATGACTGCTCTTGAATCAACCCGAACTCCTTGCACAGGCTCAACTTGCAAATGAAGAGCTCCATAAATGATTCATTCTGTGTGAATTTGGCAAACCTTTGGGGAACATTTTCATTTGGAATGATTTATTTCACAAAAATCGTTTCCTTTCTAATCCTGGGATTAGATTCAGTAAAAGATTGGCAGAGATTAAAGCGACATCAAAGAGAGTTGGGGGAAACCTTTTTGTCTGGGTTTGGCAATGAAGTAAGCCGAAAATTTGAAAAGGTCGAGGGAGAAAGGAATAGAGGGGTATGGGACAGGCAAATAGGAGGAGCGAGGTATAAACACCAGCACAGACAAGTTGGGCTGAATTGGCTACTTCCATGTTGTATCAGACCACCCCCCACCCCCTCCCCACCTCTCTCTCTCTCTCTCTCTGACCATTTTCAGTCATCTTTCACGCCTCCCAAATGCTCCTCACTTGGGAGCCCAGTCAATTAGGTGACAAGCGTTGCAATGTCCTCCCGATCTGAAAGGTGCACATGCGTACAAGTGTGGCAGATCAGAGCGTCTGTGATCTGTTAAAGATTCTTGATTAGTGCTTTTGGATGATATCGTTAGATGTAAGGCACAGGTGTACGGTTAAGGATTTTGTCAGGAGTTGAGTAAAAGTTAAGTTTTGTGGATCAACAAATCTGCTCACCTCTGACTGCTGCTTCAGTACTCAGTTTCTGCCACTAGACGACACTAGAGACTGGAACATTAAAGAGCTCAATGCTATTATCTCTGATAATTAATGTGCAGTGCAATATCAGAGAAAGCAATGAGGTAGTAAAGATGTCTCCCAGAATCCATCCTCCTATAACTTAACACAGAGACTGAATAGCAGGGAGGAGAATGAGCCTCAGCCAGAACGGAGTAGAGAACGGCACACGGCTCTGGGGGAGGGAGAGGGCAAGCAAAACATCAACACTGGGGGAATCTCAGGTTTTTTTATCCTCGCATTTGATCTAGCGCCTTTTCACGTCTTCGAGGCGTCTCAAAGCGCTTCACAGAATATACTGTGAAGTGAATTGACTGTATATTTTGTGGGCGAAACGCGGCAGCCAATTGCACACAGCAGCGCCCCCACAAACAGTCATGACCAAATCATTTTTTTGTGGGGTATTTTTACCCCTGGAAAGGGATCCGCCAATCGATTAGCAACCGGGTTCCTACTAACTGCTGGGTAAACAGAGCAAGGAAACTTGCCCAACGTTTCATTTCACCTTGCCCACAAATCAATCCCAGGTCCTCTGGCTTGTGAGGCGAGTTCTCTAACCCTGAGCTAGAGGACTCCACAACAAAGAAATGTCCGTATTAGCACCCTGCCTCCTCATTCTGTCTTGTTAAACTCATTGAGAAGTGCAACCGAGTGTCATTCCTGCCTTCCCACTGAACGTCACACTTTTGTTATCAGCATTGATTGCTTTCTCACGCACCACACCCCATAATTATGCACAACCCTTCTGAAGGTGTTACTCAGTCTGTAACAATTTCGGGTAATCTGTAATTAACCGGCAATTTCCTGAGAGGGAAATAGACCCCGAATGCTTCAGAGGGAACTTACCTAACGCTGGGACTTTCAAACTGTAACCTTCTGCTTGAGAGTCAAAGTGTTTCCACGGACTCAGTTCAGAGGTCACTTGGAACATGGAGGCTGAATTAGTGATCCTTTCCTCTTACAGTGACAAATGAACAGCATTAGGAACTAATTAAAATGCTATGTATTAATCAACAGAGTGAAAACCTCGTTTGAAATACCTTGCGATTCTGGGGCCTGAACTGCCATAGTCATTAATGGCCTGAGAGAGACAGAGAGTGAGAGACCAACTCACTTACACTCAAACTGTAATCCATTATAATGAGGGACTCTGGAGAAGACATCTGAAGCACTCTAATAATATGCATTCTCTGCTCTAAAATGCAATCCGTCCTCACACAAATTGTCAATTTTTCCTCTCTCCTCCTAAGGTTTAAACACCATTATTCACATCAGCGAGGACACCTCACACAGCAATGTCGCTGACCAATTGGGCCACCAAGACTCTTCTACCCCTTCTTGACTATTTATTTGCCACCTTCGCTTACTGCTCAGATAACACCAGGGCAGAAAGTATTTGGAGAATGGTGAGGGTATTGGGTTACTCAGCAGTTCACCACATGAGTGGCAGCCAATGCATTCATTAGTAATAACTTTCCAATCCCAAAGAGAGCTTCATTATATCTTTATAACATCAACTGTGCATGTTCACTGTGTTATTTAAAGAATAATAGACACCTGGAAGTGATGACATTGCAGTTATCTAACTGAGGGGTTCAGGTACGAAGCTAAGAAAGTGAGGCTTGTTCATAATAATAATAATCCTTGTATTTGATATAGTGGCTTAGCAAGTCTTTGAGACGTCTCAAAGCGCTTCACGGAATATACTGTGAAATGAATTAACTAATCTTTTGGAGCAAAACCCAATTAGTCATCTTACAATCGGGATCTGAACATTCAAATGTAGATTGCCAGAGCAGAACGGTCCCGATCCTTTGATGTGTAGCAATGTCTGATTCTTTAGAAACCAAAAACATTTCTTTAATA